TCGGTTTTTTCGTTCTAAACCATTGAAAATTCCGAAATAGATTAAACTCCAGCAGTGACATCATCTAACGTGAGATCATTATTGATTGACATATCTCACGTGATATTTGAAATTGCAATTTCTTCTGTTGACAATATTGACCTAATCACAAATAGTATCCAGATACTTTTCAAAGCTAAACTTTGTGAAAATTGATTAATACTTGAGCATAGCATTATGTCTTCAATATTAACTTTTCCTATTTACTTAAACGTTTTTCATAATTTTTATATAAAGTGAGGAAAATTATTAAGTTTTCCTCAATATTTGTGAAGCTGTATTGAAGAAAGAAAGTAAAATTAATTTTTTTTTGATATTTATTTATTAAAGTTGTGTAATTGTAACCTCAATATACAGTATCACCTGTATATTGTATCTCCCTTAAAATAGTACCCAGTTCCTCATTTAGTATCTATAGGTATTATTCAATTTGAAAAATCACATTTATGATTAAGACCCTAGGTACTGTATGCAGTAGCATACAGTAATTTTATTAAATAAATATATTGAATTAAAGTTATATTATATTTATGATTATATAAACTTAATATATTAATAGATTTTGTAATTATTTTTTATAAAATTTTAACTTTATTAGCATAAAAAAAAATATAATATATTAAAATATTTTTAATTAAAAAATTTTAATATATTGTAATTTTTTAATAAATAGTTATTGATTAAAGAAAGGATTTGTATTTAATCAATATATAAATATTAGTAATCATAAGAAAAATAAAATTATTGTATATTAAAAGAAATTTCTTTATTTATATTTAGAACATTTGCATTTATTAATTTGTAATTATTAAAATTTAATACTAAAATTTATTAATATTACTCATTATAATTTATTAATTCAATAATAAATAAAAATCAATAAAATAAACAAAAAAAAAATTAATATATATTAATAATATTTTAAATTATATAATTGAAATGAAGTAAAAAATTATCACAATTTTTAAACAAACTCATTATAATGATCCGAAAAAAATCTAATAAAAATATTATCTAATGATCTTTGTTACACGTGATGTAACAGGGAATAATGTTTGTGCTAATCGTATAAATTATTTGTTTTGAAATAGCTTGCATAATTAATTAGACTTATACATAAACCGTAAAGCATTGACAATGGATGATGCGGGCACCTTTGATCATTCCTTTTTTAATTACAATTTCAGTTAATTCAGTTTAAATTAAATTTCACGATGCAAAACTGTACGAATCATTATCGAACTTGAAGACCCCCATGCAAAAAGGACTGCATTTCTAATTATAGTAAAAGACCCGGGAATACTGCCATTTATGGATGAGGTATCTTTAAGCAACGTCACGAATGGTCTGATTTCAAAAATGTGGCGGTTTGAAATGGCGTTTAAAAACCTTACTCTTTTTGTTTTGATCATATGGATATATTGATTATATTTTTTTTTTCAATAGTGATATCACTGCTAGAGTTTAATCTATTTCGGAATTTTCAATGGTTTAGAACGAAAAAACCGAGATTTTCAAATTTTTTTCTTTTGAAAAACAAAAAGAATTTAGAAAATTAATTTATCTAACGCCTGACCCGATAAATCTTTACAGGCTAACATTAACGAATTTACACCAGTAGCATCCCTTTATTCGGAATTTTACTACACTCTTGAAGAATATATTGTGAAAGATTTTATATATGGCGGACCACCATCATCCCGAAAACAATGGAAGCCCTCTATCTACACCTTTTGAAGAAGAGCACATCCAATATCAGAATGGAAATTCCGCTGATATTAACAACACTGATTTAGTTTACCAAAGAGTGAACACGGACTTTAGCGTCGGCGCTGATTTATACACAAGAATGCATTCTGATGTTTACCCTCACCACGCAGATACTCAATACAATGTAAATTCTTACTCGCAACCACCAAATGAGATCGTGGATCGCGAAGTTGTCATTGAAGAAAGTCCAAACTTAAGATATGCTAAGGTAACAAAGTGCCAATTGAAGATCTTTTTTTGTTTTTTAAAGCCAATGATTTCTTTTTATATATATATATATATATTTAATTTGAACATTGACCGCTAAACAATTCTTTATCATGACTTCATATTCTATCTAGTTAAATACAATTTTAGGAAAGGGCGCTTATAAAGTTGTATATAAAGCTATAGATCGTGAAGAAGGTTATGAAGTCGCGTGGAACTGCTTTCAAGTAAGACGCGCCCAGCACTAAATGAATCACGGTTCAAAATTACTTATGTTTTTTTACCTTGCTTACTTAATTGTGTTATAGACCACAAGAGCAGAATTCAATGACTTGAGCCAAGAAATTAAAATATTAAAACAAGTTCGACATCCTAATATTATTAATTTTCATGATTGTTGGTACAAAGATGCTGAGTTTATTTTTGTTACAGAATTAATGACTTCAGGGACGTTGCGGGAGTGAGTTGTTCTTTCTTTGTTTCATTTTATGAAATAATCAGGAATTAACGGTGATATTTTATCGAATATTATTATTTTAAAACAATAACGAATATATACACACATATATATTTTTATTAGTTAGAGAATAAAAATTACCGTTATTCTTTTAATTATATATATACATACTCATTAATCTATTTAGATACATTCGAAAACTTTCATTGCCGAATATGAAAATAGTTAAACGATGGTCTCGTCAAATACTTAAAGGGCTGATATACCTTCATTCACATAATCCACCTATCATTCACCGCGACATCAAATGTGATAACATCTTCATCAATGGCGCACACGGTGAAGTTAAAATTGGTGACATGGGAACCGCCAAGATGAAGTTGGGAAAAAAGTATACCGTCATCGGTATGCAGTAACATCATCCCAGCCGGGTTTGCTATCGTGGTTTTACATATATTGGTACCCGGTACCTCTTCACTCGGCGATCTAAATGATTGTTGCGACTTATTGTTCGTAAATTATAAATTAAAATGTAGGAACTCCCGAGTTCATGGCACCTGAAATGTACGAAGAAAAAGGTTATAACGAAAAAGTCGATATCTATGCGTTTGGCATGTGTCTTCTAGAAATGGTTACTGGCGAATACCCTTACGGGGAATGTAAGAATGCTGCACAGATTTATAAAAAAGTTTCTCAGGTAATATATAATTAATCAATAATTATTCTTTATTCGTTTCATTTTATATATATTTTAATTTCAAAATTGTCTCTTATGATATTCAAAGGGTACTAAACCGGAAAGCTTAAAAAAAGTACAAGACTCCGAAGTTCTCGATTTGATAAACAATTGTTTAGCTGCGGAAAATGAGAGGTCGGAATTAGATTTTTTCCCCCCTTTTCAAAGAAATTTATATTTCATTATTCTTGTTTATTGAATATTCACTCAATCATATGATTAACATAGTCATTATCCATTTTGAATTATTAAGATTCACTGCACAACAAATAATGGATCATCCTTTCCTCACTGTCGAACCAGAAGTGGTGTTAATTAAAGCAGACGATAATAAAACTCAGTTAACATTACAAGTCGTATTTAAAGGAATGGATAAGCTATCGGTGAAATTTGAGTTCAACGTGGAAAGAGACACAGCAGAAGAAGTGGTTAACGAAATGGTAAATAAATTATATCCATACATATAAACATAAGGCTCTAATTTTTTTATTACAAAAACTTTAATACAGATAGAGGAACAAGTGCTTCCAGAGAAGTACCAACAATTGATTACTCATGAAATAAATCGTATTTTACGGGACATCAGCAAGCAATCAAATGAAGACGATCCAAATAAAGAAGAACATAAAACACCGTGGCCAAGCCACGGTGGAATGTCGCCACATTTGACACCTCATAAGTCTTCTCATGGTCCATCTCCTTCACCAATTAATTTGGAACGTGACAGTCCTAATGGAACCATTACGCAATCATATCCTGTACAACCAACAATAATGCCAACCGAGTCGCCACGAAAGAATTCAATTTCTGGCCAACCACATGATTGGTCCGATTATGAAGATACAATTCCAGCCAAAGGTTAGTTCTATATTTATTTATATGGAAGTTTTCTTAGGAACATGTCTTCTAATCAAAAGTGAGATTATTGCTATTGTAAGTTCACTTTCATCACGTTATTTATGATTATGTTTTAATTACAGAATATCCGGATAAAACTCCGATTAACCAATTTGTTTGTGACGTTGCAATTGCAATCAACCGAGACGTGGATAAAGCAAACGATTGGTCGGAGAAGTTAAAAAGTCAGGACGTTATGACTGTTGGCGATTTACGTGCACTAACAAACGAAGATTGGACACAAATTGGATTAACAGTCTTTGCGATACGTGTCCTTAAGAATGCCTTACATGGTAAGACATTGCGCAGTCCATATATTATTCCTAGGACAAATAGTGCAGCCAGTACAAGTACAAGTGGTGGAGAGGAAAACCCTCAGGAATGATTTCCATTTGCCTTCATATGTAGGCAAATTGTGTATGATTTTTGTATTCTTTGATTTAAACATGCACGAAATATTTTTTACTTTGCCTCATACAAGTTTTTTTTTTTTTCCTTTTTTTTGTCTAGTATCTAAATCAAAGGAGAAATAAAGAAATTACTAGCAAGTTCTTTCTCAACGTTGTGCAAAATATGCCCTTTCGGATTCCATCATCACAAATCTTTCATTTATTTCGACTTAATTAAACCTCATAACATTCCCGTCTCATTCCCGAACATCCATAAAATATATAAACATTAATTTCGAATTCATATATTCATCAATTTCCGTTTTTTTTTTCCGTTTCCTTATAACATATACATGCTGGATAATGGGAGGGCTTATGACTTTTTCTGCTTAGTGGCTTCTTTGTTTTCTTGTCTTAAAAATTATTACTTTAAAATAGTGTAGTATATAGTAGTATGGATTTCTTTCGTTGAGTAAACGATCACTCAATTTTGCTTGCGGAGAGATACTGTATGTAAAAAAAAATACATATATATTAGTTTCCTTTGTATTTATCTTATTTGTTTTTACACAAAACAACCAAAAAAAAAAAAAAAAAAAAAAAAGGAAAAAAAAATTATTATTATAAAATATATTTTTGTCTCTCCAATTTTTTTTTTTTGCTTTTAGAATATTATTAATATTATTTGATTTATCTATATATATTATCTATTTTTTATATTTTTTTATTTTATTTATATTTATTTATTTCCTCTAAAAAAAAAAAAAAAAAATTTATATCAAAAAATCAACGCATAATGTGAAACAGGATTCTGATTGGTTTTAAACAATTAAAAGATTATCGCTAAAATTTGTTAAAAAATAAAAAAAATGTCCTTCAAGGGGAAAAAACGAAAAACGGTCGAAGAAACCAGAAATTCTGCAAGTTTATATATATTTTTTTTAAAATTTTTAGTTTTATAAAGCCAAGTTAAATAATAGTTTGTTGCCAAACAGACTTTAAGAAAAGAATCAGAACTCGAACGAGAACAGTTAGCACAAATTAAAGGATTGGAACAGGACATTTCAATTAGAAAATCTAGCTATAACAACATAGTTACATTACTTGAATATACTAAGGTAAAAAGACAAGTAAATAAATATAAATTTTTGAATAAATAAACTTAAAAGATTTTTTTTTTCATTGACAGAATGATTCCTCTAAAGTAATTCATACAGCAATATATGCATTATATCGGTCCTTTACGCCTCTACTTTCTAAAGGTGATTTACAAAAACCTAAGGGTCCTGAAAATGATAAAGAAGGACTGATAAAAATTTGGCTTCGAGATAAATATATTCAATATGTCAATACATTATGTAGTTTACTAGGAAATGAAGAGCCAGGTTTACAGGTGTTTTAATTGTTTTACTTTAATTGGTGTTAATCATAAATAATTTCGATGATTAACATACTTTGTTTAATGGTAACAAAAAAGATTCCATCATTAAATATTTTATTGGACCTACTTAAAATTGAGTCCATGTATCATTCTTCATCATCTGGTACACATCAATTTTCCAATAATCATTTTTATCATGTCGTTGAAGGGCTCATTGATAATGAAAATTTCAGTGAACCGTTAAAAAATGAATTCGTTGAAAAATATTGGAACATTTATGATGATTTGAGGTTTTACTTTTTAAAAAATGCCGCGTAAGTAATATATATAGTGTAATTTATTTTTTTTGTTATCATCTTTTTTTTTTAAAAAATATATATATATATATATATATATATATTTATGTTTATGTATATATTTTGTTATCCCTTTTATTGCGTGTGTAATATATTATAGGAAAATCATTAATTTCGCCTTAGACAGTGGTAAAGCAAAAGATAAATCCGGTCCTGTTTCTAAGGTACATTTGCGGAATATGATTAATCATATAGATTACATCTAGAATGGTTTGTATAATTACCATTTATTTTTTTTGAATTTAGAAAAAAAGATTAGATGGAAGATCTGACGATAATAAGTTAAATAATTTGATGGAAAACACTTTTTCAATACTTGAAAATTTACGAACCATGCCAACTAATGCATCGGAATTTGATGAGTTTTGGATAGGACATCCTGCACCTCACAGTCATTTTTCAGAATCATTGGAAAATAAGCATGGAAACGATGATCATGAAGATGATTTTGATCATATGTCTTTTGATGATTTTGAATTCGATGAAGATTTTGAAAATCAGCAGACAAAGGAAGCCAAGGAATCTCAAGAAGAAGCTTCCGATAAGAAAATTAAAAAATCTATATTGCTTCGATTATCAGAACATAGACGAGTGTTTTCTGATTGTTGGATAGCATTAATGAAACTTCCAATGACACAAGAATCATACAGGAAAATCCTTTTAATCATGCATAGAAAGATAATTCCTCATATGCTACAGCCTACTTTATTAATGGATTACTTAACCGAATCATATAATGCTGGTACTGTATTAAGAAGCTTTAAGTGCTTTATAACTTATAACGACGTAGTGAAGTAACGTCAATTTCCCAATTAGCTTACTCCTTGTGTAGTTTAATGTCCTTCTTAATTGTTTGGGAAAAGCTTTGAGAGGAACTAAATACAATTGTAGCTGTTATTTAACTGAATTATTTCCTTTCGATATTACCGCTTGTTGAGCTTTTACAGTTCCTCGAGCTTTTAAATGCCAATTCCCCTTTAATTCTTCATCCTATTTAATTATTTTATGAAAAATTTTTTTATCTATATACATATAAAGGTGGCGTTATTAGTCTTTTGGCACTTAATGGTCTTTTTACTCTTATAAGTGAACATAATCTGTAAGTTATTTATTAAATAAATTAGAAATTCTCTTTTAATCATTAACATGATACTTATTTATTGTCTACTTATAGGGATTACCCAGACTTTTATACGAAACTATATAATTTATTCGATCGTAATTTGATGCATGTAAAATATCGTTCAAGGTTTTTCCGACTGGCTGACCTTTTTCTTGCATCCACGTGTGTATTAATTATATTTTGTTCGGTTTGTATTCAAAAGTTTTTTTTTAAAAAAAAAATAAATGCCTAATTTATCTTTCTATATTTTTCAGTCATCTTCCTGTTCAATTAGTTGCGGCATTCATCAAAAGAATGTCACGACTTTCATTGACATCTCCACCACATGGCATTGTAATATTGATACCTTTGATTTATAATTTAATTAGACGGCATCCAAGCTGTATGGTTTTAATACATCGTTCAAGTGAACAGGTCTATAAATTAGGAACAAATAGTAAGTATCTACAAGTAGAATTAATAAATTTATTATGATGATTTAATATAAATTTGTTTATTTCTTTTAATTACAAACTCATTTTTAGGTTCAGATATTAATGCTTCAAATCATTCAGATCCTTACAATTTTGATGAGCCAGATCCTATGAAGAGTAACGCGATTGCAAGTTCTCTGTGGGAGATGAAAGTAATTATTTTAATAATAATAAACTTTATTTGTGTAATAACGTATTAATTTTATATAACCTATGCCCTGTTTTAATTTTAATTTAGACCTTACAAAACCATTATTTCCCTAATGTTGCAACTTTAGCAAAGATCTTTCAAGACAAATTTACAAAACCTTCTTACAACTTGGAAGATTTTTTAGATCATACTTATTCAACGTTGATTGAAACAGAAACAAATCGTAAATATAAAAAGAACAAGACTCCTGCACTTGCATATGAAAGACCAAGTTATATATTTCCAACGGAAGAAAGCATTGAATTGTTTGATCATAAAGGTAAATCAGAAGAGTTGGAAAGTGACGAGAGGGAATTAATATTAGAAAATATGAAGAAAGGATGGGAGATATGGGAATTCTGATTCATGATTTAAACATTTATCTGTATTAAGAATAATTTATTAAGTTTATTTTTATATTTTTTTTTTTTAAACCGAAGAAAATTTGAATAAAATAAATAATTTGTCCTTAATATTTTATTACACTGGATTAATGATTTCAAGTTGAACCGTGAATCCCTAATTTGTTCAGTGATTTTTCACCCTCTTCTTCCCATTCTTGTTTTGTAATCCACCAAGATTGTTTATCTTTCATAATATTAGACAAAACAGCACCACCAAGGAAAACCATATGTTTACGCCTGGGCGGATCTTCAATTTTAATTTTTAGTTTCTGGTTATTCATTAAAAAAAATATTAGAAGGTTAAATATAATAAAATGTAATTGCATACAAAGTCAATCATATTTAAAATTTTACCTTTAATATTGAATTATCTTTCTTCGCTACATTAATCAAATACAGCTGTTTAAGTTCTTTTTCAAGACGACTTGGTAAACCAGGATACATAGATGATCCTCCAGATAAAACAATATGCCTATATAATTCAGTACGAACATCTACAGGTGCATCTTGAATAGCTTCGAAAAGCATTTCTGCAACGCCTGGCTTTTCTACATCAATCAAATGAGGCTGGAACATGCACTCGGGAGCCTCAAATCGTTCGGAACCAACTTTGATGATTCGGCCATCAGGTAACGTGTAATTTTCAACGAGGACTGTGGTTTCAGTTGCCAATTTTTGATCTAAAGGAATATCATAACTAATTTTTTTTTTTTTGATATTCATCACATTAATGAAATTTTCCTTTTATGAAGGTAAACCTTGAAATCTTACATTACCTTACATAACAAAGTTTCTCTTTAATTTGTCTAACAGTTTCAAAATCCGCTGTTCGATTAAAAGCATAACCTCTTAACAAAAGTAACTTTATAAGATAACGCGTCACATCCCGTCCAGCAACATCTAATCGACGTGTTTGATGTGGCAAGGCGAATCCATCATAAATTGGAACAATGTGTGTCACACCATCACCAGAATCTACCACGACTCCGGTAAGAAGACCTTTTTTTATCATCATGAGAGAAATTGAGTGCAAATTTCTTGAAAACATCCTTATGGTAAAAAATTTAAA